CAGGGAGAAGGCGCCCGGAGCGGCCACTCAGGGGCGCTGTGCGTGCGCCCTGGGCGCCTGGTCGGCGTCTCCGTTTACTCCCCGCTGTGTGGTCGCGCAACTTGAAGCTCAGCCCCTCACTCACCGACAGGAAGAACGGGCGCGACCCGATTTAAAATAGTAACAGAGTATTAAAATAGCAGCCAGGAATCTCATGGGTAGCTGATAAGGGCTGAGGCACAAGTGTAAACTGAAGACCAGGGTAGGAGCCAGGCTGAAGGTGATAGGATGGATTGGCTGGAGCAGGAAAGATCATCAATAAGTACATTGAGTTTGTTATACTTGCTGTAACCTTGTTGCTTAATAGAAAGCAGGAAAACTTTGCGTTGATAAGATAGGAGATTTTAGTCGAAAAATATGCTTTCTTTTACATAGCAGAATGCACGAGTAAATTAAACCCGGGAAAATTGAGAAAATCAGGTAGATCCCAGTTCTCCCTCCACCCCTGCATTCTTTGCACAAAGTCTTACAACCGCATGGGTTACAACTGGGAGGTTCCTTTCCTTTCCGTGCCCAGTAGGCTTGTTCCAAAAAGTTGTCTTTAAGTCCCAGTGTTGTAAATCAAGGCTCTTCGTTCTGCTTATCTCTGTTGTAATTCCAGGGACTTCACGTGACTTTCTCGCTCTTTATGTTTCTTTGCCCTTTGATTTCCTTATTAATACCACCATTCGTTCACTGTTAGCCTTTTTAAGAGACAGTGGATTATTTTGTAAAGGGAGGGTGTTTGCCATGCTAGTTAATACTCCCTCATACCCTGTCTAGTTTGTGAATTTGGATTTTCCAATGTCTTTATTGGAGCAAGGAATAACTATTTTTATACACTGGTTTAAAAAAAAATGGTTGAAAGTGGGATGCAGAAGGCTTGGATTCTGAAACAATGTGTCATCCGAACCCAGTGTTACCTCTGGGATTAATGTTGAATTTATTCGGTTAAAAGAAAGCTAATTCAATGTCTATTAAGGATAATATGAATAGCTAGCCAGGAGCCGTGGCTCACGCTTGTAATCCCAACACTTTGGGAGGCCGAGGCGGGTGGATCACGAGGCCAGGAGTTCAAGACCAGCCTGGCCAAGATGGTGAAACTCTGTTTCTACTAAAAATACCAAAATTAGCTGGGCGTGGTGGCGGGCACCTGTAGTCCCAGCTACTCGGGAGGCTGAGGCGGAAGAATCGCTTCAACCGGGGAGGCGGAGGTTGCAGTGAGCCGAGATCATGCCACTACACTCTAGCCTGGGCAACAGAGCGAGACTCCACCTCAAAAAAAAGAAAATAATAATAATACAAATAACTTTTTTTTTAATCATTAGAAAGACGCATGGAAAAAGAGGTTCAACATTTGAACTATTTGATTGTTGTGTATCTCCTTTATGTGATGGTCCCTGAATTCAGGAATTGCCTCCCTTAAGCTGGTACCCTTGTACCAGGAAAACACTCGTTGAATGAATAAGTGAGTGAATGAATGCAGTTCCGCAAGTGCTTGTCATTTCCTCTTCTTGGCTTGGCAACCATGCGGAGAATCCCAGCGAGGGGCAGTGTGGGGTATTAGTTTTTTGGGTTTTTTGTTTTGTTTTGTTTTGTTTTGTTTGTTTGTTTCTAAACACGGTCAATTTAGATCCAGGTTGCAGCCACTACATTGACCCATATCAGCCTTGACCACGGTATTATACCTCTTTGAGTCTGGATTTCTTCATTCTTAAAACGGAGGCAACAAAAACATGTAGTTCACAGGTTTGTTTAAAAAAAAAAAAAAAAAAAGACAGTGTATGTAAAGCATCTAACAATTACATACATTCAAGTAGTTGCTCAGTGAATGTTCAAATTGTCTGGTGTTGGTAATTGCTCAATAAGTGTTCAAAGTAGTGGATGCCGTTTAAGGAGAGTGGCAAACTTCTGTCCTCCCAGATCCTGAGGTTGACATTCCAAGTTGGGGTATAGCAAGGGGAGAATGCTGCCCTGAGCGGGAGAGCAAGAACAGCCACGTGATCTTTGAGCCAGGTCTGCTGGGCTTCAAGCTTCTCAGCTCTCTGGGCAGTTGATGTGCCTGAATGGCTCCCTGCTTTCCACAGATGCTGTACAGATGTTGCCCATCTCATGGGTCCTTAGGCCTGGATGAAATAGTAGGCAACTCGTCGTGCCCCCTCCCAAAAAGGAGGCATTTCACACAGGAAGGGTGGAGGAATGGAAACCAGAACAGCCATGGAAGATCATATGCCAGATTTCATTTTATCCTTAGTATGGCGAGATCCACAAGAGCAGGGAATGGGAATGCAGTTAATTTCTATCTGTATCTGTAGGCTAGTGCCTGCCACACATAGCGGCCACACATAGCGGTGGGTGTTAAAAAATTAACCTCTGGCAAACTGAAAGCTGCAAGCACTGAAAGCTGCATGTTAAAAAAAACATTTTGTACATGGATGACCTACGAATGGATCTAAGATTATAATGAAATTAAGCATTAAAATTACCAGCTTTAATGTGCTTTTTATTTTTCCGGGAGGTCCAGATGCACCAGAAAGGTACTTCCTGCGTGATGCTGTAGAAATACTGGGTCAGGGCAGACAAATTTTTAAGGACAGGAACCTGAAAGAGCAACCACTTATAAGGAATTGCTGCCCTGGCCCCTGGGGTGCAAGCCGAGTCTTTTTCTCACTACAAGCTATACTTCGGGCATTGAAATAAAAGTTTAATTAAAAAGATATATCTTTTAAATTTTGGGGATGGAGACAGAGGAGATTATAAGGAGGAAATGAACATAAAATAAAAAGCAAGAACATAAAATCATAGAAGAAAACAAGATGTGGAAAAATAAAGCTTAGTGATAATAAGGTATAGGAATCAGGGAAACATTGTCAGATGGGCAATGAAAAAAGTAATTTGGTCAAGGGAAGACCATGTTGGGAACCAGTTTTCGTATGTCTCCACATTGGCATTTTAAAGGCCCCATTTAGAACTTCTAAATATTCCCCTTTTCCTCCTACTTGCTCTCCTACCCATAGAGTGACAGCTGAATGAGAAATCCATGACATTTATTTGTCATTTCCTTGAACTAGGTCACTTGATCACTGTATTGGAAAAGTGTCCTAGGGTCAAGTTCTAGAATCTGACATTTGTCTCGCTAAGCAGTTGCTCATACCAAGAGAGGAACCTGCATAATTCCAGCACACTTCTTGGAAACCTAAAATGAGTGCAACAAAATATATCTGTGTAACATTCTACTTTCCAAAGCTCCAGCATTAACTTGACACTATATTATAATGTATTCTTTTAGTCTGGTAAGAACAAATGTAAATTGCTACTCTATTGCTCTTCACATTTTATCTTCTGTCTTTCCTGGAGCTGACCTTGTAATTTAAACTGTTCATGCTCCAATGAGTGTTCCTGAGAAACTCAGAGTTCATTATTAGGTCTAGTTATAGTGCATCATGAAGAACCTCTCTTGCAGAGAGGCATGTCTCTTTAGAATGTAATTCCTGTTGTTGAGGGCTTACTATGTCTTTAGTAGATATTAGAGATACTTAAAATTCATATACTAAGTCCCCATCCCCAAGGGCTTACAGTTTCATTGGACAGGCAGGGTAATCTAGAAAAAAAAAAATGTAGTTATATAGCAAAATATGTGATTCGGTGAATAAGTACTAAAAGAATTCCAAAGAGAAGAGATGATGGCCAACATGATTTAGTTTTCAGGGAGTAGGTGAAATTTGGTCTAGACCATGCTGGAAGGCTAGATTTTGTTTTAATAGAAGGGACATGGCAAAGGAATTATAATCAGGAAGCCATATATTTCTAAAACCCTTGCTCAGTGCCTGGCACATTGTCAGTGCTAAAATGAGCACTTTAAGCCTTTTCAGATGAAGAAGGAAGGGAAGAAACAACTAATGTATGTTTTAGGAATAAGTGAATGGATTAAATAGTGAATGAATGAGTTAACTAATGAGTGGACATGGAAATGCCTAGAGTACCCCAGTCTGGAGCCTGGCTTTCAGAGTTCCCCAAATCTAATTGGGCCAGAGCAGGCTTCTCCCCCAAAGGTACTTAGTTCCCCCTACAATGAAGGTGGCTTTAGGAATACTGGGAGGCAAAAATTCTTCCTCTGGCCTCCTCTTTGGGCCGGAACTTGCTTTCCTCCAGCTTGTCTCTGTTGACTCCTTGTCAGAGACCTGAACCTTCCTCTCACCTGCCCCCAGACACAGGAAGATTTGGGACTGATTCAACTGGACACCATACGGTCAATCTCCTACCTCCATTATCTAGGGTGGGCACCTGGGTGTATCACACAATGTATCCTCTCACTCCTAAGCTGTTCCCTCTACTCAGCCTTGCCTTGTGCTCCCTGGGGTCAGCGATCTGTTCCTGATACACTTAGCTCTTCTCTGTAGCTTCCACCCCTTCCCAGAAGACCCTTCTCCTATGACAGGTTCATTCTCCCACAGCTCCACTCTGTCCCTCCCCAAGCCGTCTTTCTCCCTCTTGGAAAGCTCCTCTGAACTCCATTTTATCTCCCCACTTTGTCACTGGTGTCTTGTGCAGACTGCCCGTCAGCTCCCACTTAACCTCACTAGCATTGACCCCAGTCCTTCCAGATCCTACCAATGCTGGGAATGACTTCAACACTAAGCCTTTCAGCCCCTTGACATCCTCGTGTCCAAGGACCTGCACTCCCACTTCATGTCATTGACCAACACTTCTGGTCTCACCTTGCACCATATCATCACCCCAGTCTGGCTTTGCCTCTGCATTTTAAAATTCAAGCATCCAATCCTCCACTGCCTCCAAGTCTGTTTGGTATTCTATCTTCATTCCAGGACCTGTCACTGCAACTCCCTCTGCCAGGATCTTTCCTTGCATGGTCCTTCTGTCTCATCCATGTGGCAGAATGTTACTATCCAACTTTGGATCCATACCTATGCTATTTACTGGAGTGCTGGAGAAATCCCACAACTTAGAAGGCAGGAACCCTATGGATTCATAGTTTCCATTAGCAACTGGATCCTACATACTGCCTTCTACATTCTCCTGGTTCCATTCTCCCAAGAAGGTACAGCAAATGTCTACTAGTCTCTTAAACCTGCTACCCTGTCACCAACTCCCACACCCCTAAACATGGCCTTGCCTCCTACTTGGTGGAGAAATGGGGCACCATCAGAAGGAGCTGCCACATACCCTCAGACTCACCAAAGATTCT